GTTCGGGCCGCGCGGAAACGCTTGCGCGGCCCGAATGCACCGGCGATTGCATAAGGCCTCGGGAATAGATTTCAAAATGGTGGATTTTTTGGATCGGAAACCCCGCTCGATTCGAGACGTGACTTTTTGCCAAGATTCGCCGATGCCCACGTAGAAGAGTGCAGACGGCCTCGGTCCGCCTCGGACGAAAATGGCGCGTGCCTCGGAATCGAGATACAGGATCGCTTTTTCCGAGCCAAGCGTCGCTCGTACCCTCGGGAGAGATAACTTAACCTACATCGCTCGTTTTCCGATGATTTTTCCCCAAACGGAAAAGCGAGCTCCCTAATGCGAGGGTTTCTCGTCGCCCGGATGAAAAGCTAGGCGAAATTGGACGAGCGATTAAGGTGATATGAAAGCTTCATATGTGCCCATAATTATGAAAGTGGTCTAAGTGATATATTTTTTGTTTCGAAATTACATTGAATTAATTTCGTTTGAAATAATATGGCGTGAAATAACTGATAAACTCATTTTTTTTTTTTTAATTTTGACTTAGACCACTTTCATAATTATGGGCACATATATATGTATCGGAAGGTTTGTCAAATTTTTCTCTTAACAAGGTGGACGAATAATTTGAAACTTCAACGTGTGATTATGCCCTCCATATAAAAATAGAAATTTTCTATGTATTCCTGACTAAAACGAAGGACACATATTTTTGTATGAAAAATGAAATTTCATGAAGGAGGAGGGAGAAACTCTTTGGCGCCACTTTCACATCACCTTAACCGCTCGACGAGGGAATTCTTTTTAATATCGATATCTCGAGGATCTGGAGAGGCTCGATCGAACGGCTCGATGAAAAAATTTATCCCGCGAAGGTCCCGCGATTATCGGAACGATGCCACGGCAGGTATCCGGGAAAAAGTGCCGATATCAGCGCATCGATGCTTTCGTTATCTATCCGCGGAGTTCGTCCTCCGTGTCGATCCCCGCGCAGATAAAACCAGTGAAAATTCCTCCCTCGAGTCGAATCGACAGATACGCGAGTCATCATGTGGAAATCAGGTGTAACTCGTTGGAAATTACCATGTTAACCCTTAGGCTACTAAGAGCGCCTAAAGTCGCCCGACGTTAGGTCCAATATCGCCTGCCCGGTCAGAGGAATTTCGCCCATACGTCGAAATGGCTCCGTGTTCAAAAGCTTAAGGCCGAACGTCCCTCGTTACCTTATAGCATTGTCCACAATATACAATTAAAGGCAATCGGCTCGCAAATAAGGAAATCGTTTCGACTGATTTCCAAGTGAAACGCCCTCGGAAGAAGACCTTCTCGACCTCCCGCCGAAGAAACGCTCACGGGGTAAATCAGAGCAACAATATGGCCGCAACCGGAAGGAGCGCCCAGGGAAGGGATCCGATTAAAATCTAATTTTTCACGGATACTCTCTTAATTAAAACATTAAATTGATCGCGGCGATGGGCGGCCGAGGGCAGTGTCTTCTCGGTGCGGAGGCGCGCCGGGAGGAAAAGAGGGAGCCGAGCTAAAATAAATGAAAATGAAATCAATTATAAAACTGTTTGAGGAGCCTCCTCGTTCGAGGCGGCACACCCACCTCCCGATGGACGGACCGCCCGGATCGATCTTACATTTCCTTAATTAAAAAGCACAGACTTTGCTTTCAATTTAAAACGTCCGCGCGACCCGCGAGGCTCCGGTCGAGGGCGAGTCGGCGGAAGTCTCCCCCAGGAAGCTCCCCGAGAGGGAAAAAAGGACATATCTCAAGGTAACCCGAGGAGCGAGGCCGAAAATCTCCGGGAGGCGCGTCCACCTCGCGGGGGCGAACTCTCGAGTCGGTATCTCCAGGGCGGAAGTTGGCCGCGGTTTTTCCCTCCCTCCCCATCGAAAGTTTCCCTTAAATCGGGCGACCGGAGGTGAGAGATGCATTCTTCGTTGTCAGGGCGCGCTCGACGAGGCCGGGTCTTGATTTATCGCTCTCCTAAATCTCTTTTGCCTCCCCGGAGCCGGGGCGAATGCGCCCCCTTGTTGTCCGGGCGCCGCGGTACCTTTGCACTTTTAAAACTTCCTTACCGCTGGAAATTTCATTATAAGCCCTTCGCCGGCCAGATAAGAAGCCGCCAACTTGGACGGTCCCTCCTCACCCGGTGAAATACGCCGCTCGACGTGATTTAAGGTGATATGAAAGAGTCNCGTTGGGGAAAGTATGCCCCGAATTGGGTGTACCGATTCGTTTGAAATTTTACCACGGGGATATGGAGGCTCTAAAGTAGGTCCTGAAACTCATGAAATTTCGTAATTCATAAAAAATGTAATTATCTATAATAAAATGGAATATTACAGCCTATGTATATCTGAGATGTCAGATCGCTGAGGAAAGTATTCCCCGAATTGGATGTACCGATTCGTTCGAAATTTCCCGAGTTTCAGGATCTATCTTAGGGTCTCCTCGTTCATGTGGTAAAATGTCAAACAAATATGCACATCGTAGAAATGAATTTCAGGAACAATTGACCCCTAAGATGCGACTTTGACGTCCCCTTAAAACCCGGTATCGACGGACGCGGATAAGAGAGCGCCGCAAGAAGGATCGAAGGGGGTGAATTTTTTCCAGGTTTTTTTCTTTCCGTCATTTTTCGGGAAAATCCCTCGGGAGTTCGCCCTTCTCCGACTCGATTCGTAAAAGTGGAGGAGTCGGTGGCCGAGGGATATTGCCATGCGCGCGGCGGTCCCGGGATAGAGTTCACGGATGAATCGCCCGCAAATTGCGGGGAAAAAGTAAGTTTCCGCCGGGGGAATTTTTGTTTTCATTTGATTACCGGGACTCCGGGAAGGAGCTAGGGGGTAGGGAAAGAGGATACCGAGGAATAACTCGGCGAGATCGGGACCCGGAGCCGGTGCTCCTGGGAATCGATATGCCCGACGTCGCTCCATTCCAGACGAATGGTCCAGATCTCGCAGCCTCTCTTTCGGCGGCCTTCCTCCTCCCTCCTTCGATCCCCTCTCGGGGAAAAAATGGTTTCCCGCCGCCACCGAGGGAGATTTCCGGTTCCCGAAGGAAGGCGCTATGGCTGGGGGGGAAAGTTTCCCGAGGCCGCGTCCGCGGGTCCATGCTCCATCCCGAGGAGCCAGGGATTACTTTCTCATTTAGATTTTATCGGGGTCGCCTCCTCGAGCTCCTCTCTCTTTCGTTGGGTCCTCCCGTTTTACGATTCCTTCGTCCTGGTGGTCGGGTCTCCTTTGTTTTTCCTAATTACGTCCCGATCCGGGGACGTTCCGCCCACCCCGTCATTAGGCGACTAGCCAAGAGGGTGGCCCCCGGGGACCGGTGTCCCTTTCGAGGAGCCCATCCCGCTCGGGGCAATTTCCCACTTCCCCCTTTCGGAGGGCCCGATTGTCCCGGAACAGCGGGACCGTTTGATACGCTGGTCACCCCGACCGGGATCGTCTCGCAGGCCGGTGGGCCCTCCGAGGGGAAGTGGCCACGCGGATGCGCATCTGCCGCTCCGCGGAGGAAAAAAAAAAAGAAAAAAAGGAAAAATGATAAAGAGAAACCCTCGCCCATTATCGGCTCGCCTATTCTTCCGTTGGGTCGCGGGTAAACCTTGCCGCCGCGCCTCCACCACGGGAATCACCTCCTAAATCGAACCTGGCGAATCGATGACGACCCACTGGTCGGGCGGGAACAAAGGAAGGGGCCGGAAACACCGACACCCGTTTCCTCCGGGAAGTGGGGATATCGAATGCGTCCTTTAAGATGCAGATCCCGAAACGTTGTCGCGACCGCTTCCTCCGGTTTCCCCTTAGAAGGCGAAGAAATAAAGGGCTAGGTGGTCACCCCCGGAGAGATCGGTCCCCGCGGCCAGGGGGATTCCTGTCGGAGCTGGCCACCGAAATGCAAATGTGCATCTGCCGGCGCAAAAAGTGCCACCGCCATTGTCTTACGTCCTCTAGGTTGACGCGGAGTCGGGGCGAGCCCCTGCCCCCAGGTTGGATCCATCTCTCAAGGACTCTGAATTCTCCTGGCGTCGGAGAAGACGCGCGACGTCGACCGCCATCGATTTCGAGGAGGGAAAAAATCTTGAAAATAGTAATTCTAACGTTTTCGAGGTTATGGGAGGCTCTGAATTCTCCTAACGTCGGAGAAGACGCGCGACGTCGACCCCCATCGCTTCCGAGGATCGAATCTCCTGGGTGGTCGAGGGTCCATCCCCGAAAAATGACCAGGGCTCGCGGGGAAAAGTCCTCACGGATCCGGCTACCGGCCTTGGCCAGGAGCTGGTCTCCCATGCAAATGAGGCGCTCCCTCGTCGTCGGTCCCCCTCCGTGCAAAAAATCCAGGTCAAACATCATCCGGGGCTGGAATTTTTATTCCCTGACCAAATGGGACAAAAGGGTCACCGAGCAGGACAGGGGACGGCGTAACGGTCCCGAGGCGAGACCCTGAGACAATCGGGGCGATTACCGGGGAACCGAGCCATCCTGGGCCACCCCTGGAGGCAGGGGAGGAAAAATGCCGGGGGCATCCCCCCGGTTGGGGATTCCGGCAATCCCTGCGAAAGAGACTCCTCGGCCTCGTCGAGGAATCCCCGGCAGAATGCCCCCGGTCGGGGTCGGCACGTGACGGGGCGCATCGGCGTCCCAAAGCGCCGCGGCGGAGGTGGAGGAGCGGCGCGCGGGCTGCGGTCAGCGCCGGGATTCGAAATACGATAGAGAGTCCGCTCTGGGGGGGGGGCGTGGGTGGGGTACAGTCGGGGCGCGAAACTCGAACGCCACGCGGGGTACAGTCGGGTACAGTCGGGTACAGTCGGGTACAGTCGGGTCCAGCTTGGCGCGGGGCGGCGGCCGGAGCGGGAGGGGGAGCGGCTCGCGCGGTGGGGGGAGGGCGCGCTCGTGAGCCCGCGTCCAGAGAGGGTTGGTTCGGTTCGGTTCGGTTTAGGTGAGGTGGCGAGAGGTGAGGTGGGGGTGCCCGGCACGGGGCCGCGGCGCAGTTGCTACTCAGACACGGGGATGCTCGCAATGCCTCTATCAAAGGTTGCGAAAGGGAAAATTCGGCTTCTCGCGGGGGGCCCCCCGGGCGCCGGGGCCGGGGCCCCGAGTGATTCGCGTGCCCCGAGGAAGACGCCATCCTTCGCGCCGGGGACGGGACGGGGAGAGGGTCCGAGGTGTGCCGGCCTCCCCGGGCTCGACCGAAGTGGAAGGAACGAGGATCGAGGAGGCACTGCGCCGCGCCGCCGCCGCCGACCCCGACGCCACAAGGGGGAGAAAACTCTCCGGAAAGCGCGGCTCCGCGACGCGCGGCGTCTTACCACGCAAGGAGCGCCGCCGCCCCGCGCCGACTCTAGAGGGGAAAGAGACGCCGCCGGGAGGGGGCAAGGCGCGGGGCGCCTCCTCCCGAAGACGCTCATTCGTTCCTACGGTCACGTGGCTTCGTTCTTATAGGTTTTTCCCGGACGGAGCGGGACGCTTGAATCCCGAACCGCCGACCTCGGGGTGGGAAGTATGGTTCCTTTGCCTCGGGCCGACCTCCCTTCGGGGATTTCTTCGATTTATCGCTCTACTTTCGACCTTCGATCGAGATTTTTCTCGGTAGATCCCTTGGTAGACCCGTCATTAACATTCGTTATCGCGCTTATCTCGTCGTACGCTTTGCGGTTCGAACTACCCTCCTAATTAACGATCGCGGATAGAATTTTCACCGCATCGATCGTCTCCGTATATGCGTGGTAATTACCTTAGCCGGTGGATTTCTACCCTGGAATTCTATTTCGTGTATCTACCGCTTTGGATAATTTACCCCTTTTCGTGCACCTGCATACGTAGGGCGGACGTTTAACGGGGTGCTTTGAGGGTACTCGCTGCTCCGATATCCCCGTAACCCGGCATATCATCCCGAGTTAACTAGCTTCTGGAATAGTTTGTGCCGACGCGAGGAAAATTTTTTATTTCAAATTTTAACATGGCGGCCTCCCTCTTTCGCGCGGGACGCTTGAATTCGGACGCCACCCCTTGATGCGTCTCCTCTTCGGCCGCCATTCTCGTGTCTTAAGATAGGAATTCTAACCTCCAACTATATGGCAGGAAGAATAGGAAATCGATTTTCAGTCGGCGGTTCGAATTTTATTTTTTACCACGCATAGGGAATTCACTTCGCGCTTCCTTGTCCTAGTGATTTATCCCGGAGGACTCTCGTTTCCTTGATGGAAATTTCGAGAATTTCTCGACTTTTCGGATGAGAATTAAAATGAATACTTTCAGAAGTTACGATTTTCGAATTCTTGATACGAATTCTAATCTCCAATTACGCGGTAGGACGAATAGGAAATCGGATTTGACCCGGCGTTTCGAATTTCATTTTTTACCACGCATAGGGAATTCACTTCGCTCCCCTCGTCCTGGTGACTTATCCCGGAGAAGTCTCGTTTCCTTGGTGGGAATTTACGAGAATTTCTCGACTTAATGGATGAGAATTAAAATGGATACTTTCGAGAATTAGGATTTTCTATAGGGGAGCCTAGAAACGAAGGAGTCGTCGAGTTTTCACCTCTCTTCCTCTCCCGGTCCCTCGACGTGCCCTCCGAGATCGGACGGCAAAATGGGGGGATTTGTTTATAAATTGGGAAGGTTTATAACGATTTGGCAGAAATTCGGTATCCGCGCTTCCTCGGGGCCTTCGAGTAGGAGGTTAAGCTCCAAAATGGCGGAGATAAGTGACGCGATACGTTTTCTCTGTTCCAGACGCGTCGCACTGTGTTGTTATGTGTTGTCATAGTTATTTCATTGAAAAATTAATTTGACCGTTAACTCTGGCGCACACAAAGTTATTTTCTGTCTGTAAAAAAATAAACCCACGAGGAAAGTAGAGTGTGAGAGAGAGAGAGGGAAAAAAAAAGGGGGAAATACGAACTGTCAAAAGAATCCGAACAACCAAAGCTTGATTTGCCGAAGGACCTTTTTAGACCACACCCTTTCGAGCATACCTCATTTTCGAAATTAAGCAGAAGCATACAAGAGTCGACGAGGAAACCAAAGAAAATAGAAAACGATAAAAAGCACCAAAAAAAAAGAAGAAGGGAGAGAGAGAATAAGTGAAGAAACAAAATTGAAAGCATTGCCTTAGAAGAATACCTACACCGCGCGGTAAACTTGAGAAAGAGAGAGAGCGAGAGAAAGAGAGAGATAGAAGGAGAGAGAGAAGTACGAAGCGACAAAAAAAAACAAAACTGAAGAAAACCAAAAACATAAGAGAGGGAGAACGTGATTATACAAAGGGAGGAACAAATTTTAGAAGAAAAACGAGAAATCGCCTACGAAAATAAATTGTAAAGATATGACTAAACTATATTTTTAACAAGTTTTGAGAACTTTAGATTTTAAAGGATTTAACATTAAATGCGGAGGAGGGAAAAAAAGGGATGAGGGAAATGATAAAATTCCTAGTAACCTAAACAAAAGAAAAAAAAAAAAAAGAAGAAGAAGAAACATGTGATCTAAAAGTCGTTGCTACCAAGAGAGCCTTATGTCCTTGTTTCAGTTAGTTCGGTTCCACATGTAAGTACAAACGTCGACCACCGATAGGCCTTATCAATGCATGCCCTAATCCTGCATCCATCTCCCTGCTTGGATAAGAGCTTAGAGATCGTTCCGCAATGCATGGGCGGCTCGATCCATCGATCTCGATCCCGCTTGGACGCTTTTCCACCCCCTGAGGGTGGACAATCCCTTCCGCCTTAAATCTCGCAAAGTGTCACAACCCCATGAAGCGGAAGAGCAAAGGATCTCCCCCGATCGATCCTTTCGCCGGAAATCCGGCGAATTTTGTCCAGCCGAAGGGAGGGACGCGGAAAGCCCCTTTTCCTCGTCCGAAAGTCCTCTTGGATTTTTCCTGAAAAATCCCGGGGGTATATCGGCCCCACCCGGGGGAACGAGGGTCGCGACAATGGCGGCGGCGCCAGGAGCGATTTTCCCTATCGCGTTAACCGGCAATTATGGGAAAATACGAGCGAGGGAAAATCATTGGATCCCGGGGGAATGATTGCGCGTCGCGCCGGCTGCGAGGGGGTGGTGGGTGGGAGGCCATTTCGAATTTCCTATTTGTGGGTGCGGGGGGGTGCGGGGAGGTGCCAGGCAGGGGGGTGGCCATTTTTTCGATGATTTCCCGGCAGGCGCCTTCGGTGCCCTCGTCCGGCGGCCATCGGGGAGGGCGGCCTTTTTTCCGCACCCCTCGTATTGATCCCGGAGTCATTCAAAATGGCGGCCGGCTCGAGTCAGCCAATGACTGGCCGAATCGATGACTGCAGCGAGCCACCCCCGGACCGACCAATGGGAGCCCGGCCACGGGAGCCACGCCGACGCTGCGGAACCGCCGGACGAGGGGACGCGGCCCGGCCGGCGTCGATGACCCGGCCGCGTCGATGATTTCGTAAAACTCCTCGGAAAATCTCGACGCCCCCTCTCCGCGGCCTCCCCGCCGTGTTCGCACCCTGCCTTTACCGCCGACACCCTCCGGAAAACGCCCCGACACCCGCGCCTCTGGTTTGCGGCCGCCACCCGGAGCGACGCCGAGGTCCTCCTCGACGCCCGAGTCCTGGAGTCGAAGGCTCGGGGTCTTCCCGATTCCCTTCTGTTGTCAATGGTCAGTCCCGGATTTCGGGACAATTCCCCCTAGGGTGATGTCAATGACCCGACGCTCGGAGGATGCGCCGAGATGGGGAGGGATGTCACGAGTCGAATGCTTTGGTAACTCGAGTCACTCGAATTCGAATGCAGTGACTACTACAGTTTTGACTCGGTGTCGCTTGCATTCGATGCGGCGAGGAAAATGACTCGATTTATGGCGACTCGAGTCGATGCGATATGACGAGTCGAGTACTTCATCGACTCGAGTTACTCGAAAAGAGGAGTTTAGATTCGAGTCGACGCGATATAATTTATATAACTTTATCAACTCGAGTCATTCCAGTTCGAAAGCATTACCAACACAACTTTAGACTCGAGTCGACGCGATATAACGAGTCGAGTACCTTACCAACTCGAGTTACTCGAATTCAAAAGCATTGACAACTCGAGTTTAGACTCGAGTCGACGCGATATAACGAGTCGAGTACCTTACCAACTCGAGTTACTCGATTTCAAAAGCATTGCCAACTCGAGTCGACGCGATATAACGAGTCGAATACTTTACAAACTCGAGTTACTCGAATTCAAAAGCACTGCCAACTCAAATTTAGACTCGAGTCGACGCGATATAACGACTCGAATACTTTACCAACTCGAGTTACTCGATTTCTAAAGCATTGCCAACTCGAGTCGACGCGATATAACGAGTCGAATACTTTACCAACTCGAGTTATTCGAATTCCAAAACATTGCCGACTCGACGTCGCATATATTCGATGTTAGGAGTCGAGTCAACGGTCGACATGTAGAGTAAAACAATTCGAATAACGATAACTCGAATAAACAAACAAGACTCGATTGTCATCTCGGTACGAGTAACTCGGCCTCCCTCTTACCCTCGCAACTCGCTTTCGAATACTAACTCGAGTTACCCTAAAAAAAAATGATTCGAGTTGTATGATTTAAAATACTCAACTCATTCCACCACTAGTTTACGCGAGTCGTCTGGTTATTTGCTTGAAAAAAGTACTACCGACTGTTTACGCTGTCCTGCAAACTACCCCTCGACCCGGCAAATTTGTTTAACCCCGAGCTGCGCGTCCACCTCGGTTTTTCGGTGGCGAGCTTTCGGACTCAAAGGCCGCCGACCCGTGGGAAAGCGTTCCGAAGATAAAAATCACCTGTTGCCGCGGAAGGGGAGTTTTCCACGGGCGTTCGTGAATATATCGACGTCTCGTGGAGACGGAACTTTTCCCCCCGTTTTCATCGGTCTGAGACCGAGTCGGGTCGACCTCGACGGCGGATCCGCGATTCTTCGAGCTTGCCGCGACCTTATCTCCGCCACCTTGATCCTGGAAGCGTCGAATCGCGTTATCTTATCACGCTGCTCCGCGGGATCGAAAGTCGGGAAAAAATGACGGCGGCCCCGAGGGGCAGCGGACGGAGCCAATGATCGGCCCTGTCGCGGGCTCGGGGGCAAACAGCCCCCCGGTCGCCCCCCGCCACCCTGCGGCTTTCTCCGCTGTCCTACGGCTACGGCGGATGTCCTTCCGCCGAAATTTCAATTTCCCCGCCCCTACGCAGTCGTTCGCAGTTCCTTTGTACGCCGGTATCGCCGGCAAAGAGAATGTCGAAACTCCCGCACCGGGCTACTGAGCGATTGCACCACGCTCCTATGTGCACGCGTGTGCCAGTGTGTACTTAGATTGGCTCCTATTGACACAGAGACCGGCCACGTTGCTCGGTACAGTCGGGAAAGAGTCAAATAGCGAGGAGGTCGACTCCTTGCGACGCAATTTTCCGATACTTCCGGTATCGAGCCCCGAAAATTCGATGCATTTTCCGCGACGGCGGCCAACGCGGTCCCTGGAACTCGGGGCCCGCTTTCCCGCGAGTTCCACGTCTGGTTCCACTTTAACCCTTTCGTTTCCACGCGAATTTTTTAATTTGCACCTGTGGGCCATAATACAAATTTCATATTAAGAATTTTATAATGGCAAAGAACTGGGAAATATGTTATATATTAATTATATGTCGTTTCACGCGAATTTTTGAATTTGCACCTGTGGGCCATAATACAAATTTCATATTAAAAATTTTATAATGGCAAATAACTTGCGTAATATGTTATGTATTAATTATATATCGCGATTTTTCCGATCCTTCCGATATCGTGCCTCGAAATTTCGATGCATTTTCCGCGACGTTTGGCTAAAAAAGAAAATGAAATATTTTATATACTAGATATAGATTTGTTATCATTGAGTAGCGCACTTTTTAATATACAAGGATATATACACATCTGCATAATTCATTAATTTTTCTTCGAGAGCATTTCTCTCAACGTGAATGATTTAAAAAACAAATGCATGGTGGTCACCGGTGGCAGCGAAAGGGTTAAACAAAGAGGAAAAGCGACATCGGGAAAAAGAAAATCACGTTTCCCCTCGTAACGGGAACATTTCATTGGTATTATTAGCCGCGATGAGCGCATATAGGAAGCGAGACCTTATCACTGGAATAACGAGCCGATAATAAAATCGTCGAGGCTTTGTTGCGATTAGAGACGCGGACATATTCCTCGGCGACGCGTCTCGGGGTGGTCTGTCTGTAAAATTCGTCTAGAGAAATGAAATCCAAATTTCGGAGTAACTCCGGGCCCGTCATATGGAGCCGTCGCGACGCCCTTTCCATCCCTCTAGGTTGGGAAAAGACAATTGAAAATTGAGAGTAGAGGGCCAGTCCGAAGGTGCGTTTCCATCTATGGCCGATTAGGGGTCGATCGATCCCTCTATGGCTCGAGGGTTAGGGTAGGTTAGGTTAGGTTAGGTTAGGTCGCGTAACCTTCGCGTTAAAGATTAAACGCTAACCGGGCGTTAACCCCCGATTATAACCAGGATGGCGACGTCGGTACGAGCGGTCACTTCTTGAGGAGAGTGTACTAAGCGCGCCGGTTTTTCTAGAGCAGGCAGTTTTTCTATTAAGCTTCATTTGTTTCTTTCATTGCGTAATACGCCGGACGCGTCGCGTCGTTCCATCCGACGTCGCGATTCCTTAATTCCCGGATCTCGGTCCGGTCGTCAATTGAGATTTTGAAATTCCGAGCGGAGGATTTCCTCGACTCGCGTTCCTCCCTATCGGGATCGTTGGGATTTTTTTACGGCCACGCGGTCTCGGCTGGTACTGTTTACTTGTAACGACATCTGTCATTAGCGACAATCAACCGGGATTCGAGCCTCGAGAGCAGATATCACCGCTGACACAATTCTTCGCGGAAAGACCGGCTCCGAGCGCGTCGCGACGGCTGGATCTCCTACGAGGGAAAATAATACATGCACCGGGAATGCATTCAAAGAGAGTAATTATCCTTCGAGGAGTTTTCATTGACCGGGAGCGGAAATCCCATACGTCGAGGATAAGAGGTCCGATCGGCTCGAGAGGATCATTAAAAAGATCCCCGTCCGAGGTAGGGGGTTAGCCCGGACAAAAACCAGAAGGCAAGGGTCCTTTCGTTCCCCGTTTCGCCGCCAGGCGTCACCCCAGTCCAGGGAGGCGCTCGTTAGGGGTTGCGCTGAGGCGGTCGCGCGAGATCAGCGGGTCGGCGGCACCCTTTACCTCGGCCGAAACCGAAGGAGGCGGCGCTCGAGTCCTGGAGACTTTTCCGCAGGTTTTCCGGAGGTAGGGTCCCGAGATTCGCGACTTCTTCGACGTAGAAAGGGTCGATGGGAAATAAGTCGCCCTCCTCCGATCCCTAAGACGAATGTCTTCCTCCTAAGGCTGGCCCGATCCGCCACGAGTCGGCCGCAACTGGTGCTGGGGACGCACGTGCACCCACTACGTCGGGCAACGCGGGGCAACGCGGGGCAACGCGGGGCAACGCGTCTGCGCGAGGGCCCCGAGAGTCCAGCTGCCGATCGGCATCGGGATCGGGATCTGCGGCCCGCCACCCACTCGCGTCGGCTCGATTCTCACCTGTTTGGAGGGCCCGTGCGCCTCTCGGGCCTTCATTTGTAATTTAAAGTGGGCCCCGATTGCCCGATGCATCCTGCGAGGGTTATTTATCCCCGGGCTGGCGGCAGCCGATCGGGCAACCGGCGCAAAACCGCGCGGCGGGTCGGCGGAAAAGTGGGCAGGACTTGGCACAGGTGGAAAAGGGAGTTTCTCCGGACAGCGGTCAGCCCCTCGGAGGGTGGCGGGCATTTTTTCTCCGCGTCTCATTGGCCATCTTTTATCCCGCCGGGGTGGGACCACCCCGAGATACGTGGGGTCAGCCGGAGCGGAAGGAGGCCGCGTCCACCCCCTCGCTTTTCCGGCTTTTCCTTTCTTTTCCCTCCGCGGCATTTGTCGACCTCTTACCCGAGCCGATAGAAGAGGATCGAGCCGGGGGAAGTATCGCCGCGAGGAAGTCACCCCCTCGAGCCGGGGGGAGGGCACCCCCACCGGGGCTCCCACACGTGGCGGACACGTGGAAAAAAAGAGGAAGAGCGGGAAAAAAATCGAGTGGCGGGCCGCGGGGTGGGATCGTCCCAGGGTGGGGGTGGCGACCGGAGGAAGGGCGAGGAAGGGTGGAAACGAGAGGGCGGGTGGCCTGCCGACGCGAGAGAGAGAGACGCCGACGTGGAGGGGAGAGACGTCGGGGATGAAGGACGTGGAGGGTGGTTTCTCCGGCGCGGTGGGGGTAGACGTTAGATGGGATACTCGAGGGGCGGTAGGGGTTGCTCGGCGATGCGCTTCCCCTGGCTCGAGTGGCCGAGGGAGTTCGTAAGACAAGGGACCGTCCAGTGGACATTTTTTTCCCGGCCTCCCCTGCCCCGCGGCAGGATCCCCAATTTCATCGATTTCACCCCCCGGGTCCACTCTCGCATTTTCGAAACCTCCCGTTCGGCTAAGGGGTGCTTTTAGAAAGGGAAAGTGGAAGAAAACGGGGCGGAAAGAAAGCCCCGTCTCTCCCACCCCGGAGCCTCCTCCGCGGTTAGTCACGCATGTGTTACCATACGGGGCACGGAGGCCATTTTCGTTTGCGGTCCCCCTTTTTACGGTCCACCCCCTCGAACGAAAGGGGGAGACCCCTAGCATTTTTCGGCCAGTCGAACTCTTAAATTCGTGACGAGCACACGGCGGGGCAGGCTGTCGATCCCGAGGGGAGACTCGAGCGAGGTGCGGTCGCCATCGGGCCCTTCGAGAGGGCCCCAAACGTCCACGAGGGCTCCTCCAGGGAAGAGCCCTCGAATTCCCGGTCCGTCTCGATTCCCCAGGCGTCGATCTCCGAATATCGGTGAGTTCCTCGAGGAGATCCAGGGCCCGTCGAGGGAGACGGACGCGGACTCCGTCCTCCCTCCGGTGGAGGCGTCCGGGAGGGGTGGGAGAAAAGAGCGTCCGGTTCTTACGACCCTCCTTCCGGGGCTCGCCCCACTCTTTCTACCCCTTAGACGTTCCCCTAGCCTCGCTCGCCCCACCCGGGCGGGGGCGCGCGCCTCCGCGCCGGCTGGTGGGAGCGACTCTCGGAGGGGTGGCTTGAAAACTCCTGTCCAGGCGGCGGCTCAGTTTTTCGTCCTCCGAGGGTTGAAATTTGGAGGCCTCGGAGGTCCACGATCGGCGGAGCGTCGCCCGGAGAGCCGGGGGGCCCCGGGGGGCAGGAGCCCCCGGGGGGCCCGGCCGAGGGGCTCCCGCGGGACCCGGCGGCGCGCCGACCTGCCAGAAATTTCCCGGCCGCGCACCACCTAAGACAACGCCCCTACCCGGCCGCGTTCTTTAAGGCACGGGGGGTGGCTTTTAGTCAGACGCACGCGGTCTGAGACGCGCGCCACCACCGGCCACGGAGAAGGACTTAGCATTTCTCGCGAGTCGCGGACCCGAGTCAGTTCGGTTCCTCCTCCGTCAAGGACTCGACCCCGAAGGAAGCCCTGGCCTTTCCTTTTTCGGGAGTCTTGACGCCCACCGGGACTCCGCCGCCCTGTAAGGACCTTTCGGGGGACCCGGACCTCCGGCCCTTTTCTTTCCTCCCGAGTCACCGGGACGCCGGTCCCGCTTACCTCGCCCCCACCCTGGACCCTGGCCGTCGGCGACGTCGCTCACCTGTGGCTGGCTCCTCCAGTGGCCGAGTTCCCTCGCCGCCGTGGTTTCCGCCGGGCCTCCGACTTGGATTTCCCGGTGTTCGATGTGGTGCCCCGAGGGACTGTGCGACCCGGTCGACCGACTCACGTGCTCCTCCACTTCCGGGCCCAGTTCCTTGGGGGTCTTATCAAGAGCTGTGATAACCTCGGGGACGCTCCCACGGAGCCCGGTAGACCTCGGAGGGGTCATCGGTGGATGGGGCTCGGCCGTCGAGAGTGGCCCGCTACGGTGCCCTACGTCGACGATTTTTACACCTCGGTCGGGACGATCCGACGCCCGCCGAGTGCGGGAAGCGAGGTTCCCCGTGGAAGCCCTCGAGCCGACCTGTGAACAGTGAAGCGCGACGTGGTGGACGGGTGGCGGGAACTCCGGGAGATACGTCACGGCGATCCCTCCGACGTGTCCGACAGTCCGTCGATGTACTCTCCCGGGTGACGTGATACGACCTGGGCAAATTCTAGTCTAAGGGACGACGACGCGAGTCCTGACGACCAGTGCCGCCGACCTTACGTTCATTTGACGTCATACCTCGACCTCGCGAATTTCCTGGCTCGATGGATCGAATCGCGGTGCCGTGTTCTGGGCGATGTGCGGAATCGGACTTTTTTCCTATCCTCTCTTGCGGAATTTCTTAAATCTCGCGCGGCCCGATCCGTATTCTCTTCTGCTTCCTGCTATGACACCAAATAAAGATACGATGGATGGCATGCCGCAGTGTTTCGCATTTATTTATCCCTTCGATTTTTTAACCGCGAGTCCTGGGCGACGAGCGAGGCGTCGCGACGGCGCCGGAAATTGTGAACGCCGCGTCGGCCGGGGCGAATAAAAAAAAAAGAAAGAAAGAGAAAAGGGAAGACCGAGGCCGTCGAGGATCCGCGGAATCCTACCGGCGGACTGTCGACGGTGCGGGGAAATTCCGCGCGACTCTCGATGTTTAAGAGAAAGTAAGATAAAAAATACAATCGCCTCGCTCGCAGGTCGAAAATCGGATTTTCTTTTTTTTTTCTTCTTTTTTTCTTTTTGCCTAACTTTTACGTTACTCCCGTCGACGGTCGAGTGCATCCCCGCGCAAGGGACTACGAGGGTGGAAAAAGTGTCGTCGGGGGGTCGAACTCTACTCGCGCCCCAGACCTTCGCTTCAAGCGGCGGATATCGCCGGCGGAAGGGACGGCACCCTTTGTTTTCCTTCCAGAGGCGGAGTTGCGAGGAAAAAAAATTCTCGGCCGCGAGGGAGATCCTCCCTTCCGGGCAACGATCAAGGGGCTAGCTCGCCCGGAGGACTCCCCACGTGGGGAAAGGCGAGAAAGAGATCTCGTCCTCCACCCCCGGAGTGATTTTTTTTCTCGGCGAATCGCCGGCCGAGGTGGAGGCGGGAAATCGTCACCCTCGGCGACGCTTCGGGGAAGTTCTCGGAAGGGGGTGAAATCCCGCGGTGGTCGCGAGGGCTCGACTCCGTCCACCCTCTGGGCCCTTTCGCGGGGATCGGGATCACGCTTCTTTCCTTTCGGGATTTTCTTTCGGCTACCGTTTCCTCCCACCCTCGCGATCGGTTCCTCCCCGGGAAGCGAGGGCGAGAGGGACGAACGCCCCTTCTTAGAGGGTGCAAGAGGCGGCGGGCTAAGTCACGAGTTTGGATTTTTTCTCATTTCAGCTTCAAGCGGGAGACGCGTTGCAGCGAGAGATTCCCGCTCAGGAGAGGAAGACTGGACGAAGCGGAAGAAGCGGAATAAGACTTGAGATCAGAGGCAGAGGAGCAGGAGCGAGACCTTCCGAGGCGCGAGGAAGAGCGAGCGGGAAACGCGGGAAGAGGAGAGACGTCCGGTTCGAGGAGGAGCGTGCCCCGAGGAAGACCGAAGGATCCACCTGGAAGGGAAGAGCACGGAGAAGGAGAAGGAGAAGCGGCGGGAAGGGAGAGGGAGATTAAAGGAGAAAGAAAGAGAGAGAGAGCTCGCCGGGTCTCGCCCGAGCACCAGCGAAGGAAGAAACCCCGCGCCATACATATAGATTTCAGTGTGTTCAAAAAACGAGTGTACCTAAGTGCAATATTAATTAAAAAGAAGAGGAAACCTACGCTAAACGATAATAAGAAGCAACTACCGGGGCCGGATCGAACCGCAGGGCGCGGCGATCGGCGATCGATTTCTAATCGTTTAGAGATTAAACCTAGAGTCGCATCTCGAGGCGGAGTCGCCACGGAAGCGACGCCCTCGGGAGGGTCCTAGGCAGAAGGCGCCGAGAATTCGAGGAAGAGGAAGAGGAAGAGGAAGAGGAAGAGACGAGAGTCCGGAGGTCCCGAGGGAGAGGGAGAGAGAGAGAGAGAGAGGAACGGGCCGTCGTCCCGCGCGATACACATCTCACGGTCGCGCACACCTCGGCGGGAACGCACCCGACCGGGCGCGGGCGCGCACCACACACACGCACACGCACACCACGGGGCAACAAAACTCAGGGCAAAGCGGGACGACCGGACGCCTCTCCCGTCCGGGAGCCGAGGATCGGCCTTCGACCTTGGACCCCGAGCGGCGTCGACGTGGACCTCCGCGTCTCGTTCACACCGTCCGGGCTGGGCAATCCTGAATTAACCTGAACTTAAGTGTACGGTAGATGTTAAGTAGTTAGAGAGAAGAGAATAGAGCGCGCCTCCTCGAGTAGGAGGGGGTGTAGCGGGAGGACGAGGGACCGCGCGAGCGCGACCCTTCGCGCGCGCCCGCACACACACACGCACCCACACAACCACACCACACCCACGACAGGCACACACTCTCGGACGGAAGACGCGACGGAGACCGGCAGCGACCTTCGCGAGTAGTGCCGGCACGGGAGGGCCGATCGGGAGGCCGGCCGACTCGCCGCTCCAGGAGGTTTGATGAGCCAGGTCCGAGTGGGCGGCTCCAGGAAGAGTCCGGAGTCGGGGAAGTGACGCCTCGCCGGGAGCGACCTCGGGAGTCCCGGCCGGGCCCCACGGGAAGCGCGGAGGTGCGCCCGCCGCCGAGCTGGTTACCAGGAGCGGTGCCAATAACCGGGCAAGCTGCGCCGCAAGGGGGTAGCCCGGGCTTCGCGCGAAGGCCTCAAGATTTCGGACGCGACGGCGGCCCTGGACCTGCGAGCGCAGACCCAAGCCCAGCCGGAGTTCGGCCTAGACCAGCACCATCGCGCGCCAAACCCGGAGACCCGGAGGCACCATCCGGGGAGCCACCACTCTGGCGATTCGGGGGGTGGGCTAGGTGGCGGAGGAGGCGGCGGAGGCGGCGGAGGCGGCGGTACCGGCGGCGGCGGCGGCGGCGGAGGCGCCGGAGGCGCTGGCGGAGGTGGCGGTGGTGGTGGCGCCGCCGGTGGAGGCGGCGGCCCCGAGGCCGAGGCCGCGAGGACCGCCAGGATCCAGGACGAGGACGAGGACATCACGGAGCGCGAAGACGACGAGGACGACGAGGACCCCTGCAGCTCGCCGGAGCCGGACCTCGAGCCGGAGCCCGAGCCGATGGAGGTCCAATCCTCGGCCGTCACCGCGGCGGCGAACCTCCACGCCCTGCGCCAGCACGTCTTCAAGATGTCCGACTACTGGCAGCAGCCCCCCAGGGGTCCGCCTCAGCTGTCCCCGGGCATCCAGCACAGCCCCATACAGAGCTCCGGCCAACAGACCCCCATGCACAGTCCGCTGGGCCAGCAGCAACAGCAGCAGCAGCAACAGCAACAACAGCAGCAGCAACAGCAGCAGCAACAACAACAGCAGCAGCAGCAGAGGCAGCAGCAGCAGTCCCAGCAGCAGCACGCGCAGCAGCAGGCGAACAACGGCCAGGCGCAGCAGAACGCGAGCGGAGGTTTAGCCCAGAACTCCGCGTCGCAGATCCAGCAGCAGCAACACCAAATGTCGATGAATAAGCAACAGGGCGGCCAGCAGGGTGGCCAGCATCAGTCTTCCCCGGCTCCGACGACCCCGTCGCCGCAGGCCGACCACCCCGGCGCCATAGCGTCCAGCATGGCTCAGAGCCTGCACACCCTGGCCCAGGCTCAGTCCATGTCCCAGGCCTCCAGCCCCTCGCTGGCCGTCCAGGCGGTCCAGGCTGCCCAGAACCTGGGCCAGGCCCTCACTCAGGCCCTGACCCAGAACATGCAGCAGAACCTCGGCCAGACTCTGCAGCACAACCTGTCGCAGAATCTGGCCCCTAGCCTGTCGCCTCATCAGCAACAGCAGCTGCTCAACCAGCCGCAGAACCTCAGCCAGGCTGGGCAGAGCCTGCAGCAGAACATCCAGAGCCAGGCGCAGAATCTGTCCCAGAGCCTGCAGCAGCAGGCCCAGAACCTCTCGCAGAACCTGGGCCAGAGCCTGAACCAGCAGTCGCTCCAGCAGCAGGCGCAGAACCTCACCCAGAACCTCCAGCAACAGGCGCAGAACCTGTCCCAGAACCTCCAGCAGCAGGCCCTCAACATGGCGGGGAACATCGGCCAGAACGGCTCGCTACCCGGGATGAACGTCGCCGGCCAGCAGCAACAGAACACCCAGAACTCCATGCTGAGCCCCGGTGCCGCCAGTCAGGACTCCCACGATGCCGCTCTCACGGAGAAGCTCGTTAACGAACTGCAGGTGAGTCCGGTCCTCCCACCTGGTCTGGCCGAACCTACCCGGCGCCCAACCTGGACCCGTTCCCCATGTGTCCTGCCCATCGATCTCGCGCCTGTTCCTCGCCCCGCGGACGAGGATCTCGGTCCACACCCCCGACCCTCCTCCTCGCGGACCCTGCTCGCATTCTCGGCGACGCACATTTCGCCGATTGTTTGAACCCCCGGACTGTACCGAGATACGCTGACCACGGTTCACGCACACCACTGTGGTACGACTCACCGCGTGCCGCGGACACACGCGGCCGCCTCCTGTCCCGACGCGCGACACGCACACCGACCCCGGGATGCAGATACGTCTCTCCGGGGTTCTTGACCCGCGCAACACAGATAATACCATACGCATACGTCATACGGTGCGCCGCGAAGATCTTCCCAAGAAAATATCGAACGGCGTCGTTGCCATTCCCGACCGAGGCGCTTGCCGACCCGAGGAACTCGTTTTTACGCTCTCGCCTCTTTTTATCACGGTCTTCGATTGATTAATCCTACCTCTTACCGATGTGCTCGCATTCTTTTACCCCGGGAGGTGGTCGCCTGGGCGGTCGGAGGTACCTAGGGAAATTCCCTATTTTTTTTTTTTTCCTTTTTTTCCACACCACATCGGGGGAGCGCGTCCATGCGCGAGCGTTTCGTCGGGGGAAAAAAGTGCTTCCGGAGAGCGACGACAATGGAGAGCGAACGAGAACGGGTGCACGTAGGTGTGCGTGGGTTAGCGCGGGTGTACTGGGTTATCAACGGGTATTTTATCGCGGCTTAAGTTGTCAGTTCCATGCGAGAAAGAGTACTCGTTTACGGCACGCTTCGTGCGCCTTGCCGAGGCTAACGACTTCATTCCCAATGACGTTCGATCGCGGGAAGCGATCGTCGGGCACGACGATGATCCAAGCGATCGCTCCTCGCCTTCGACTCGGATCTATCGCGATTCGAGTTCCCTCCTCGATCGAGATCGTTCCTCCCTAAACAACACGTATTCCTCGATACAACTCCCCATGAAACGCGGGACCGATCCGCAACGAAACGGCCCTAAAATCGACCCTGGACACTTCGTTTAACGATAGCCTTCGACAACGCATCGCCGCAACCCGGACCTTGGTCAAGGTTCTCTTCCTTTCGACTCTCCTCCCCCGCTTCTGCCGGGGAACCACCCTGACCATCCAGGGTGTCTTTTTAGGAGATAATCCCTGTTAGGACTCGATGATGAGGACCTGTGACCAGGAACTCGTCCCGATCGCCGATTTTTCGGAGCTGGAAGGCCTCCGGTCGGTTGGGACGAGCTCTTCGGGGCCTTTCGACTCCTGGGGGCCGTTCGGGCCTCCTTCTCGTGATCCGGTCTTTCGACTAACCCCCCGTCCTCCTCTCTTGTCGATAGTCGAGAGCAGCAGGGCTTGGAGGTGCCGGTGGAGGAATGGGCCCCATCAGCGAGCGCACCTTCGAGGAATGCTGGAACACCCTGCAGCGAGTGAGTTGAACACTCACCCTCTTAAGAAACCACCCTACCTCGCTTCGGCGTCGCGTGGCTTGCCTTTAAGTTCGCCTCTTTTTTTTTTTTTTCCTCGGTTTTATAAGTTCACCCCGCACCTCCTGCACGCCCCCGGATGCCCGACGCCATCCCGGCCTACTTCGAGAGGCTTTTTCGTTTCGACTTCCAGGTTTTTTCTCGCTCCCCCTTTTCCGTTTCATTTTTTCGCGCCCGGCTGTTGTCGAGCGTTCGCAATTTTGCTTCCTGGCATGATTTTCCCTGCAGGCCTCTGCTAGTTTGCCCTGCCCGAGAATTCCTCACTCCCTAGGCAGGGAATTTCAGGGACAAATGATACGGAAGAATGATGACAATGATCGAGCGGGAGGTCTTACCCTCCCAATGCGTTCGATATGTCTTTTCCGATTTTCCCACGATTTCCCGTGGACTGGATCTAGGGAGACTTGGACCAAGTAATCCCTCTCGGGTATAGGTAATTCGGATGTGCAAGATATTGGAATAATTCATAATAATTGATATTTACAGAGGGATCGGAGAGACACGTGGGCGATTCCTTGGCGGCCATCTTGGGTTGCTAAGAGAAAATGAAGATCTCCAGGACGAGGACTCTAGGAAGAGATTTCCTTAGCCTTCGATGGAGAATGACAAGTGGCGGGGTGGGATAATAAGAAATGCGTTTGAGGGGCTTTTATGCAGAAATGCGGAATCGCAGAAGTGGTTATTCATTTCCCTTGAGCTATGGGAACCGCAGGTTAACGTGCCCCCCTCGACGATTAACGAATCTGGGGAAATTTAGCAAAAGTACCTCACGTCACATTACGGAAAAGATGACTGCCCGCGCGTTCTATGATAATTATTTCCTGGGTACTAAACGGGGAAAAAAAAAAAAAGAGGAAGAAACGGGAGCGGAAGTTCGGTAATTGGTTAACGCACGCAAAATTCAGATTTCCAAGGTCCGTTTAGCAGTCACACCCGGAAGGTGAGGAAAACGGATTACGCTTTAGAGAAGTTTCCGCGCCGAATCGGCCGCGTTATGCATCCGAATTTAATTCCACGTTTGAGCCTAACCCTTTCTCGTCAATTAGACCATTGGTAGCGTCCTATTGAGGCGATAAAAAATGTCTAAAACCTGCCACTTGTCATATCTAAGAGAAGCTGACCACGTGATCTCGGCGCCCCAAGGTAAAGGAATGGCCCACGTGGCTCCGAACTGTCAAAAGTGTTAAAGATTCTGGGCCAAAGTCGACCGATCGAGATCTTCCGGAGAAATCGCATTTCCTTTCAGGCCTGCCTAGGCGATCGGATTCGACGGTGATCAATGTAATTAGAAGGACGAAAATGATCTTTCGTCTGTACAGTGTACATTGCACCCGAGCACATTGATAAGATAGGATCGTGGATCGACATCCACAATAAAAAAAAAAAAAAATAAACTGACAAAAAGCTCGGGCTAAATTACACGAAGCCAGACGAACGAAGCATTGTCCATGTGTATATTGTGTGTCTCGATGTGGAGAATCCCGAGGACGATCCTGATCCGTGAATTTGGAAACGCGGAAACCCCAGGTCCTCCCCCAAAAAGTCCGGAAACACGTGTCGATAGTCCCCCACCTCCCAGGCGGGAACATTAAGGGAGGAAAAAAAATGTAAAAGGAGAAAAAAGCGAAAGGAAAAAAAAAATCCGCCGCGAGGGGAACAAGCAAAATCGCTTGAAATAGCGCGAAAGCCAAGTCCGAGGAGATAGGAAAGAAAGCGTCGCTAACGAGCGGTGAATCGCGCCACTCAGGGTGGAACGGCGTCCGGAGGGGTAACTTCCGGGGGGAGGGGGAAAGTTTTAAATTCCCCCCACCGACGAAGCAACAATTTGTTTCGTTAAGTAGCCACGTTCTTTTGTTTTTGCGGTTTCTTTTATTACGACCGCCGCGGCCTCTTCCGAGGGAAAAGGGGAGGACAGAGAGGGAGGGACGAACGCGCCCTTACGGGGGTGCGAGAGAGAGAGGCATCGTCTTCGGCACTTTCGCCCTACCCTTTACGCCTTTCCACCCTCCGTCTCAAAAGCCGTCGCCCGTCCGGGAAACTTTCGGAAAATCCGGAAAAACGCCCCGCGCGGCGGAAGGGCGAAGTAAGTTTCCACGTTTCTACGTTTCTACGTTTCCCCTCCCCCGGGGAGGGAGAGGGGGTCGCGGGGGCCCGGGGAGGGAAATTTAATTAAAACATTCGCCAGCGCCTCGCTCTTTTTTTTTTTCCCCGGTTCGGTTTCCCGCCTCTGGGACCGCCACCCACGCATCCCCGGTAATCCGTAATCGGGGGGGTGGTGAGGGGGCGCCAGGACGAAGAGGGGTGGAAAAGTGGAAAACGGCATTGTCCGGCGACTGGATTTCACGAGGGGTCTCGTTTCGGGGAAAAATTCATCCCTGAGAGTCGATCTGTGGATCGTGGATGAAGACGCGCGACATTCGGCACCCTTCTTCCGGTCGAGGGATTTTTCAAGATTTCTCCCCGGACCCCCCGGGGGGTTGCAGCCCCCCAGCGAACGCGTCCAATCGGAAACTGCCGAAATCAATGCAAAATGGCCGACATCCACGTCCTAATAGCCCCCAGAGGGTCCTGCCCTCCGCCCCATGCACCACCCCCTAAAAATTCAAGGGGGAGAGGGTGGGTCGGGTAGTTTTTACTTCGCCCAATTAAGAGGGTGTGAAAGGGATGTCGAAGAGGTCCGGTTTATGAAACTTTTTGCCGTGTGGCATGTATTGAATCATTTCGAACTTTACGATATGAATATAGAAGGTGTAAAGAAGGTCCTGAGCCCCATCAAATTTGAATTTTAAGAAAATTGGTTTATAGACATTTTCAAGAATTTTTTGTAAGGAAGTCTAATCTCGGGAGTTTTAGGACCTACCTTAGGGTCCCTACATTAAGCCTGTAAAGCTTGAAACGATTCGGTACACTCAGTTCGGAGGAAAGCTTCACAAACGATTGACCCCTCGTGTGGCATTTTCACATCCCCTTAAAATACGGAATTATATAATAGTATGTTAAAGTGAATTTAAATTTCCAACGGGACGAAATTCCGATCCGGGGACCGAATCGTCGAAAATCCGACGACTCCTTTTAACCCTTTACATGGAGCCACATCGACATAAGGGCGATTTTCGTCCGACCGTGCGGGCGATATTGGACCAAACGTCGGCCGCCTTTAGGCGCTCTTAGTAGCCAAAGGGTTAAGCGAAACATCCCGCAAAAAAAGCTGGCAAACAGCCGCATCGGCGCGACATACGGACGACAATCGTGGGAACGGTTAAAAGAGCTCCGTTATCCAAACACTAGCCACCCCTGTCCGGGTCTCTCTTTCTCATGGGCGACCTAACGAGCGCGCGAAAGGGCTCACCTTTTTTCTTTTTTTTCCTTCCCTCCACTCGCAAATTAAAATCCAATTATTTCGGCGCCTCTCGTACTAGGGCGCACCGGGCCATCGCAGTTGGGCATTCAAATGAATTTTTTTTCTTGCCTTTCCCGGGGCCCGGAAGGACGTCGAACCGGTCCTCCTTGGCCGATCCGCGTCCCGGGCCAGCTGGGACTCAAGGGCTGCGGGGGCAAAAAGCCCCCGGAAAGAAAGCGCGAAGAAAGGGGAGGCGACCGCGACCTCTCCCCCGTCGCCGCGGGATGCAAATCGGGCCCGTTTTTTTCATCCGGGGCTTCCGGAGAATCCTTTCGGGACATTATAACCGTCCGACCCTTTGTTTCAGCCTTGGTCCCCACGGGGGAGACTCGCCCCGGAAGGCCACCCCGGGGAACGGGTTCTCCTCGGATTGAAAACCGTTCCGTGTCGGCCGGCCGTTAACGGAGGAGATTGCAACGTCTTAACCCTTGCCCGGAGTGGCCCGGGTGTTCCGCGGGTTTTCAGTAATTTTCTATGATTTTCAGATCGCATGGTCGGACACTATAACGCGTCCTTTTCCTCGGAGCACCCGGGGCCCGCGAAGCGCCCCGAGGGGGGTAATCGCGAGGGGGCGCGCGCTTCACCCGAAATTGGAAAAGCCCTCGGGCACCCTATACCGCGACGCGGTATTTTGTAAGGTGATGTGGGGAAAAAGGTAAAAAAAATTTTTCTGTATATTTACGTTGCCGACGTTAATTTTTATATCGACTGCTGGGTCGAGTTATATTCAGTATTGTATCGAATAGCATACTCTATATGTCGTTTCGTACAATTATTATTAAGATATCCAAGCAAAATTCCAGATATTCCCTGGATTCGTGGTTTTTGAGGCCCTCATTCACTGCAGAGGGACCCCCTGCGCCATCTATCATTTTCGTGTCAACCTAATTTTCACTCCGAGACCTCGTATTACCATTGTTTTAGCATAGAAGTGTATAAATCATTTTTTTTGCTGAGGCAAAGTTAAACAATTTTTGTTAATTAATCAAAATTTTGAAAGTGTCAGGACAATTGTTAGGCGCTCACGAGTCACGTGTCAAAGTTTCGGACGTTTCTATCCAACACCCTTAAAAAGTACTTATTCGAATCTACTGATTTGACTAGAGTTTAACCCGAGGTAAAGAAGGCAAAGTTAAACAATTTAGTTAAAAAATCGAAATTTCGAAAATGTCAGGACAATTCCTAAGCGCTCACGAGTCACGTGTCAAAGTTTCAGACGATTTTACCCAACACCCTTAAAAAAGTAGCGTCTTATTCGAATCTACTAATTTGAGGAGGGTTTAACTCCACCTTAAGAGTGGCGAGTTAATTCCGTCCTCGCCGATAGGCGATTCGTCCGGGAATGTGTCGCAATGCGTGCATACCCGAAAGCCCTCGCGCGTCGCGGCGTCGCTGCGAGAGGGAGCCGCGGCGCGTCGGCCGAGGTTTTGCCCTGACCTACCCCAAGAGGAGAGAGCGTGGATAGGCCCCGCCGCACGCGCCCACCCGCTCGCCGGCGCGAGGCTCGAGTTATTCTTTGTGTCGCGAGTGTGGCTGCGAGTCG